ATGCAGAAAGTACAATTTCCCTGCACCAGATTTCCTTCATTCATCAACTAGATTCATGGACTCGGTTGTTAATTTGCATGGGAGCCGATCTATCTATGTATGCTCAGTTTATGGAACAACAAATCATAATCAACATGATTTGGCAGTTACTGAAAATATATTCAACCAGGCCGCTGAAAGAGCTCTCTCTTTCCGTGGTCCGGCAATAATTTGCGGCGATTTAAATGCGCCCCTCGATAAGTTTCCAGCTTGGGCCAAGCTCCAGCAGTTTGGCTGGGCCGACTCAGCTTTGTTGGATCAGAGAATTCATGATAGAGAGCCCCAACCCACTTCTAAGGGAACTGTTCGACATTCGCTTATACTTTGTTGTGGAGAGATGGCCAGTTCGTTTCTCACTTGTAGAACGGCTTGTGAATATGAATTTGATGCTCATCCGCTGCTTGTTACAGGTTTCTCAATTTCCACTTTGTGCACGCCAAGTTGGAAATGGGTTCTTCCAAAAGCATTGGATAAGTTTATATTTAATGAAGCTGAAATTGATGCGTATGGTGACAATTTTTGTCGATTGAATGCTGCGAAATTCCAGGATGCGATCCACAACATGGATATGGAAACAGCAGCAAAAATCTTTACCCATGGAGTGGAAGCAACGTTAAAACATTCAGCAATTAGTTCTGAAGGAACCTATCAGTATATTCAACCTGGTCATTTTGGACGTTGGGTTAAAACACCACTCAAACTCAGGCTTGAAAATGTCCCTGTCATAAGACCTGCTCGAAACGGGGAATTTACTCCTATTGTGTCTCAACTAACCTTCAGCTTAAGGTACAGGACAAAACAATTGCGAAGAATTAAAGCACTAAGTCAACAATATTCATCGTTTCTTAAAAACAGACAAGAGACAACGCTTAGAGCATGCCGTAAGTTATGGAACTGCATCCTCCAGGCCAATGGATTTTGCAATGGTTTCCACACATGGATTGGGAAACACCTGGGCTTATTTGTCCCGCTGAGCCTCCCATCCCTGGAGTACATATGGGAGCTTGAACGTGAATTTGATGCTTTTCACAGCGCTGAGATTCAAAAATATTATGCTTCTAAAAATGCAGCCAATAAGAAATCAATTGCAGACGATATTCAAGGTGGTGGCCACAGAGCTTTTGCAAGTGTTCGTGATGCTCCTGCTCCTCCTTTGACATCAGTCACCAAAATTGCCAGATATCAGATGCGCCGAGTGAAATGGACCAAGGAAGGCCGTAATTGGCTACCCATGGTTAGCACCCAAGGTATTTCCCGTGAATACCCGATAACCTTTCAAGGTCAAAAAAGATCCATCAGCAGAATCCAACCCCAAGGTATTCTTTTAGAGTCCCCCGTTACTCTGAAAGATTGTAAAGATCTTGAAATTACACAGCCTGTGACATCAGCCCATCCTGAACTAATGCACCAGTGCTTGATCGCTGAGTGGAGCAAAATGTGGAAACGTGACCCGTGTCACGAACCTGCCAATTATTGGGATGATTTCAATCCCTTCTTACGATGTATTAATGATTGTCCAACTTGTGAATTTCAGCCACTTACCCCAGATCGCTGGCTTGCAAATCTCAAAGGCGTCAAAAAAAATTCTGCAAGAGGAGCGGATGGCTTCTCCACTTTCGAGTTGCAGCTTGTCCACGGTCCTTTGCTTCATTTTCTGTTAGACATCCTGTCTACGATTGAGAAGGGGGCAAAGTGGCCAGACCTTTGGACCCAAGCCAGAGTAGTGGTACTATCTAAGGGGTTTGAGCCTAAATCGCCATTAGATATTCGACCAATTTCCATTTTGCCTAAAATATATAGGACGTGGTCAAGACTCAGAAGCCTTGAAGTGTTACGCCATATTGGTTCAATTTTACCCCCGCAAGTTGCTGCCACTGCAGGTGGCATCTCTGCCGATTCTTTGGCGGCTTATACTGCTACTGTAGTTGAAGATGCTTTTTGGAATCGAGAAGATAAGTGTGGGGTGGTAATTGACATCATCAAATGTTATAACATGATCCCATGGACACCAAGCGCGATGTTGTTGGAAAAACTCAAAATCCCCCATCAGTACATTACAGGACTGATGTCCCTGTTAAAAAAATATTCGCCGATCCTTCGATATCCAAGGAAATTGTTCACAGTTCTTCAATGCTACCACTGGGATAGCAGAGGGGTGTGCATTGTCCGTTTCCTTGATGGCCGTGTATTCTTTGCTAACTTACAAAGTATTCCTTGCGATGCACCCGGGCATTCAACCTTTGTGCTATGCAGACAATTGGGGCCTGATTGCCAATGCCCCATCGCAGATCAAACCAGCCATATTCACGCTTTCAAAAATTGTTAACAGTCTTCGAATGGCCATTTCTTTCCCAAAGTCTTGGGTTTGGGCAACCAAGCTTTCGTGGAAAAATTCTCTTAACAACATTCAAGTAGATGGCCACACCTTCCCATATAAGACCCATGCAGTAGACCTTGGCTGCGACATTAATTATAACAGAAGAAAATTAATTACTGCTGGGAAAAAGCGTATTGAAAAAGCCACACGTGTTCTTAAAAGGATCCAGAAAATTAAAATACCTGTGCAATTTAAAAGAAAAATGATCCATTCTTGCGGATTTGGAACTATGGCCTATGGGTCTGAATTACAGCATATCCCATGTGCAGAATGGAAAACAATCCGTACAGCAACATTGGCCGCAATGCATAGGAAACAGGCAAGTGCGAGCCCGTGGATTGGAACCATGTTCAACCCATGCCCAGTTGACCCACAGTTAAAGGGGGTAATTCGTGCCTGCTTGTTTTGGAGAAGGTTCTTCCGAAATTTCCCTTCCTTAAAAGCTGGGTTTCTTGATCGAATTGTTAATTCACAAGCAGGACCAGGCCCGGCAGTTAGTCTGGGTAAGACCTTCAGAGCTATTGGTTGGGCACCTTTGCCAGATGGATTCCTCCAGCATACTCTTGGATTCCAGTTTAATTGGGTTGCGTGTTCAGTGACATTCTTGAAGTATTGGCTGCGCGTCTTATGGACTACACATGCTGCCCACAAAGCCCAATCACGGAAAGATTTTGATATAAGTTCTGTTGATGAATACTTGATGATGAAAGTCTTGAATAAGTTTCCATCCGACCAAAAACAACTGTTGGTGACGCACTTTACAGGGGCTGCTTGCACCGGCAACATGTATGCAAAGTTCAATCCCAATGTTCACCCCGAATGTTCTCTTTGTGGTGTAATTGACGATCGTGAACATCGCATTTTTAATTGTAAAAAGTATGAAATCCAAAGATTCAATGCCAAACCTCTTTTCAAATGGTTAGCAAAACAATCAGCTGCAACGAAACTTCTTGGCTTGGTTCCCTTGGATTTGAGTTTTTCAAAAGTGTTGTGGGAAAATCAGTTAGAATGGCCGGAGAATGTGATTCCCCTGGTCGATTTGGAGATTGCGCATGTGTTTGTTGATGGCTCGGCGTTCCATCAAGATTTGAAAATTTGTTGCATCTCAGCCGGTGCTGCAGTGAAGTGCCAGCCTTTTCAAATTGATCACACAAAGATCTTTGCTTCCCCGGTTCCAGGTGTTGATCATAGTGCATATCGCGGTGAAGTTTTTGCAATATGGGGCGCTTTGTTGAGTTGCTATCGGGTTCACCTTTACATTGATTGTGAAGCCGCCCTAGCGATGTTAAAGTATCTTTGTGATTGTCATTCCTGTAATATCACACCCAAGATTCAGGATCATCATGATTTGTGGGAAAGGGTTTGGGTTCAAATTCGTAGCCGTCCCCCATGTATAATTGATGCCACTAAGACTAAAGCCCATACTGATGTTGAGAGTATTGACGACCCTTTTTTGAAATGGCAAGCAATGGCAAATAATACTGTAGACGCTTATGCGAAGCAAGCCCTCCTTGATTGGAATCCCACGTTTGCAAAAGCTTCTAGCCATTATGCCATATCGGCAGAAAAACAAGAATTCCTGATTGAATATTGTAATTTTGTTAAGCACATGGCATCCAAGGTCACGGATTCCCCGATTAAGATTCAACCTGATGCCGTCATCGATTTTACAACACGTATCCCCGTTGGTCCGTTCTTTGTCCATCATGTGCCCCAGGCCTGCCCTGAAAATTGGCCTTTTGGTGAATTTTTTTGGAATAGGTTGAGCAGCTGGGCACAGTTGTTGCAATGGTCCAATGTGGAATCCAGGCCAACAGCCATGTTGGAACTATATATAGACTTTGCATTATATACAAAAACCATAGTACCCCTTCCAGTCAAACCTAAGGGAAAAAAATCAGCCAAATGCCAATATTATCTTGTTGATCAGAACTTGGAATATGCTGAAACTGAGTTTAAACTTTCACAGCAAAGTTTTACTTGGAACCGTATTGTTAACTGGACCCGTCACCACCAGTGTCCTATCTTCCCTGGTGAATGGGTCTCGCAATCAGGCGCCCTGAAGGATGTTGGAAATAGTTTTTGGGTCCCTGCTGTTAAACTGACTGCATCTTTAACCACCGGTGCCCTGCCGTATCAAAAACTACATTCTATTTTTGTCACCCCAATGGGGAAAAAGAGGAAAATGTGTATGCCATTCCGTCCTTAGTGGACACACAGATCGGCACCTGTGTATCCACCCTGGGAGGATGCATTCATTTGCATTCGATCCGGCATCTGTCATTTTGCATCCGTGCATTCGACTGTCCCATGGTGTGTCTCGTCGTCACCCCTGAATTTGTTGTTTTTTGTTGGTTTTGTTTGCGTTTTTTGTTTAATTAATGATCACAATCATTGGTGGGGACTTCACGCGTAGCTGGTTGTCTCTACCGCTGTCACACGGCATTAAAGTCAAAGGCGGAAAAAAATCCATTTTTTGGGTACCTCCATTTATGGAAACCCCCATGTTCTTTTAGTTGGATCTTTCTTTTGTATCTCGTTTGGGCGCCGAAAAGATATCGCTTTGAGTCATCCCCACCGGCAGGTTGCCTGTCTGATCCCGGCCGTGTGCCTTTGGACTGGTGGACCGGATGTGTTGTTTCCGAGGGCGGGATCAGGGTAGGAATGACCTGCCGAAAATGGCGGGTTTTTTCCAACAAGAGTAAGTGGGTTATGGCAGTTACGGTTGAAAATCATCGAATGGGGATATGATAGGGATATTTCCGCATTGAACATATTTTAAATATGAGAAATATCCCATTAAAGCGGCTATAAAATCATATAGCATGTGTGCCAATCTAACCGTTTGCGACGGAAGATGGGCTGTGAGAGTTTACCCCTTCAGAAGTGAGATTACCAGAGGGGTAACCCCAAACACCTTGCCAGTCATGGACCAACGGGCCATCTAGGAACCTAAACCAGAGGTACTTTGCCATCTGGTTGGTGGTTTCAAATATTTTTTATTTTCCATAATATATGGGATAATCCTTCCCATTGACTAATATTTTTCAGAGGGGTTGAAACCACCAACCAGCCATATAAGGCCATGCTTCGAGAGTATTGTGTTACATACAACCTACATTTGTGAGGTACCTCCAATTCAAGTTATCCTTCAGTAGATTGACATAGACATGGGAAAACACTCCCAGGGTAACATGAACCACATTTCTGGTCGGTTTTATCGTTGATTAAGGTTACATCCCAGCAATTCTCCTATCTTCCAATGATATTCCAGCGATCCTCTTGATCGCAATTCTATCCCCAGAATCTCAGTTCTAGAGTACACTTACAGATGATTTTGAGCCATCAAAGTTCCATATGTTTCTTGGTTAACCATGGTTAACCCACCCTTTTTCAAAGCTCTATTTTTGCTGATGTTTTAGCCACCATTTTCGGCAGGAACCAACTGAGCGTTGCAGCTCCGCGCTCGCTGCATGGGGACTGGTTGGTGTTGCCCTGTCGTCACTGTGGACCAAGACCTGCGCGAAGATCCTCGGCATGCCATAAAAAAGGCATCGATGTATCGTGACTATAATGGTTATAAATGGTGATTTAATGGTGATTTATGTAATGGTGATTGTATGGTGATTAATGGGGATTTTAATGGGTTAATAACGGTTAATAATGATTAATGGTAATTCTGGTTGGTGGTTGCAAACATGAATTTTATTTTCTATTTCATATATGGGATGTCATCCTTCCCATTGACGAACTCATATTTTTCAGAAGGGTAGGTATACCACCAACCAGAATAAACAGATGATTTTAGATTGATTTGTATAATGGTATTTTGGGTGTTACACACCACTTGGTAACTGGGATGCACATCCAAGTAGGGGGTTCATTTCCATTGTGTTTTTTTCCATGTTGAAAAGCATTTTAGACATGTAGATCATGTTCCTTGCCTGGGAAACGCGTGGATTTTCCGATCATATCTACGGTACGTTACAGGGGTTTTCATGGTTGTGTTTTGTATCCCATCCTTGTATAGAACAGTAAATTCGCTTGAATCGGCTTCCAAGGTGAATGGATCCAATACAAAAGCAGGGTGTTGATAGGGGCAGTTCGTTTATGAAAGGAAGATGTGGATAGGGACTATCAATCAATCAATTGGGAAATGTATTTATGCCTATATAAATGGTGCTATAGCCAGCAATGAATGGTGATATTGTAAGATTTGTGATGATATCTACATAATCATATACATAATTTACCATATCTACAGATAGAAATGCTTGGTGATTTCAAGTGTTGTGTTTTATAATTCCTTTTCCGGATGTGATGATGATCCCAGTTGTTTTGACAATCTGTTCGTGCTGATCACAATTCATACCGCATATTCTACCGTTTCTTCCCTGGTGATATCACGGTTACCATTCCAACCTCAATTGCTGCCCCCATACCTTCTGGTTATGTCAAAATAGCTATTGAAAATGGCCATAGAAATCATGAGTTTTCCAATTCAAAATGGTGATTTTCCATAGTTATGTAAACGTTTACCATGAGGGTATTTCAATTGATCTTGGGGTGAGAAAAGGGTCGAACGGCGATCCGTATAGTTGCAATGGTGTTCCTATTGATCTTGGGGTGAGAAAAGGGTCGAACGGCGATCCGTATAGTTGCAATGGTGTTCCTTTTCGGAAGAGTTATTTTGGGTCGATTGAACCACCATTGATTCATTGGGGAGGGCTCAATGGCGCTGGCCCCTGCCACGGACGAATACTATGGCACGCGGAAGCGGCATTTTGGAACGTCGGCACTATGGAATCATTGTAGAATTAGAAATATCTCTCGCCCTATTTTAGCTTGGTGAATTATTGCAATTTGCCTATAGATATATCATAATACAGTACTGGGGAAGCTTTCACAATCCACACAGGATGGTGCCCCCTCAGATATGTTTGTTGATGTGTAAAGCCCAGAAATATCCATAAATACCCAGAAATAGAGGGGTAGGTATACCATAAACCATAAACCATAGAGGGGTAGACTTTGCTATTTTTCAGAGGGGTAGGTATACCACCAACCAGATATAGATCGTTATATCTGCCATAAACCATAGAATTCTGCCACTTTTCTAAGGCGTATCTGAACGCAACAACCAACAGGGGCCCCATCCTGCAAGGCCATCACTGCAGAAGTTGCGACAGATGCATCCTGAGCGCCTCGGCGCTAAGGGTGGATCCCTTATAAAATTTGCCTCTTTTTTTAAACCAGTCAGAACTGATCAAACCAGTCAGAACTGAGTAAAAACATCTGGTTATACATGGTTTATCATGGTTTGCTAAGGGATCGACTTTTCCAAGAACCAGTCCCAGTTGTTAATCTGGCGGGTGGTTTCAACCTGTTTTTTGTGATTTTGGTTCGGCAGATTTGTGCCGATGATTCACAATATTCACGATGACTAGCACTTGAAAAATTAGGGATGGGTTGAAACCACAAATTTGTAGTTCTCCCATAGGATCCATGTATGCTATACATGGTAACATTTACCATCAAAATACCCCCAATGTTAGCATATATACCAGCACCATGGATCCTATGGGCTATCGCCATGTTCTATCTTTCCGAATTTTCGGCAATCCATGACAGCATACTTACTGACGTCCCCATCTTACAGGGTGACACATCAGGTGAATCATCCCGTAACTAGGTGGCACATGTATATGTTATGTGTATACATGAGCCATTTATATAAAATACTTCTGTTGATAGGTCAATGTCAAGTTAGGAAGCGTTTTTTTAAAGCTATATAAGTGGTTTATTTAAGACAACTCATGATAGGAATATGTACCAACCAACTGTCGTATGGTGGAATGGGATAGGTCCACGTAGCGTCAAAAACAGACGCCGCTTCGCGTCCATATTCCTCGAAAAAACATAGCCCATGTTCTTAGCAAACATGGCCGTGCTAGGTTGTGATGATCCACAACCCATCATCCACTGGTGCAATCAACAGCTCTTGGATGTCCATCCCACTTGGAGGCAGCAAAAATGTAACACCCATCATCTAATGTCTAGTTTCCCAACTGATAACTACATGGGACGAGTTTACGGGAAGATGTAGGATTGTTGGGATGCATTCAAAAGTAGGAATGAGTTGAAGGGGTCGTGTCGTAAGGGCAAAAAATGCCGCTTTGATGCATTTGTTCCAGAAAAAAAACACCAATTCTTCCCTTGGTGGTCCTTGCCAATACCATTGATGGTGAGTAAAACACAATTCAAAGTACTGCAATGAATGTACTGTAGTTTGCCCAGAATGGGTTCACATGAAACTTTGATAATTGATGGTAAACCGCATTGAAAAACAGGGTTGATCCCAATATGCCAGATTTGGTTGGTGGTTTCCATAATATATGGGATAATCCTTCCCATTGACTATTTTTTTCGAGATGGTTAAAACCACCAACCAGCAGATGCATTTGGGGGGAAACTGAGTAGATAGAGAGGTATTTCTTGACGAATTCCCCTTAGAACTGGTTATTGTTTACCTTCAATGGATTAGAACAAGCCATCATATCCCCATTAAAGCCCCCAATACAATCCATTGAGCCCATCTAAACCACATAAAGATACATAAAGTCCACTAAAAATGGAAAGTAAAGTAAACGGACAGCATTATAAAATCCATAAAAATGACATATATATAATTATATATAATTCTATCACATAAAGTCCATGCAAATCCCAATACTGCAACACATCCATACAATGTGGGGCCCCCTACTCATAAATTGATTTATAAACCCCATGAATATTATAGTTATTGGCGTACCATAAATCATAGCTACTGGAGTTATAAACCAACTGAGCCATTAAAATCCCATCGGCAATGGCGTGATACCCTGGATCTTGTCCCAGGAATGGATCATCATTGCCCCTGGATGGACAACTGCGTGGGGCTGCAGAATCACAAGTTCTTTCTGACCTTCGGCTGAGATCAGGTGGATTGAATGGTGACTTTATGGGATTCCATGGTGATTTAATGGTGATTTTATCAAATCTAATAGTGATTTTATTTAATGGTGATTTTATGGTGAACTTCAAAGTGGTCCCACGATTCGATAGCTTTTTTTGAATTCGCCTTTTGGGGAAAGTCCGATCGCTTTTGACGAACTGGAAAAATAACCATCTGTAAGTTGGGTAAATCACCATTTGAAATCCCATTCCCATAGGATCCATGTATGGTATATATGCTAACATTGGGGGTAGATTGATTTCATTAAATCACCACTAAATCACCATTTGAAATCCCATAAGAATCACCATTTGAAAATCCCATTAGATTCACCATTAGATTTCATAAAATCCATAAAACCAAATCTATTTCTGGTTGGTGAATTTCACGATACCCTCTGGTAAACGTTTACATAACGAACTGGAAAGATCCACCATGCTATTAATGGGAAAATACACTATTTCAATGGCCATTTTCAATAGCAAACTGTTAGTTTACCGGAGGGTATGGGCCATGGGCAAGCCGAGTTGCAGCCATAGATGGCCTTCATCCTATCGCACTGGCAATCGCAGGCTACACTGACTTCGCATTGGCCAAGGCACGCGCGGCAGCGATGGCCGCAATGGGCAGACGCCGCGACGGCCGGCGGAGCGACACAGCAACTGATCGATGCTATGGCGTCATATGATCAGGCCTTGCCGGCAGCGGCCCTGCCGATCATCAACGCAGCTGTGGCCGGCACCATCTCAGTGGGAAGCCTCTCGCTAGCAGTCCCGGCGGCCCTCTACTCCAGAAGGGCCTTTGGCTAGCATGCGCTGCACGGCACCCGATGAGTTCACCCTTATTTATTCCTAGAATAAGGGATACCCCAATAGCTGGATGGTTTATAAGGGAAATTCATGGAAAATTTGTTTGAAAATGGATGATGAAATGTGGTACCCCCATGACTTAGGAAGCCTCCATCTCATGTTTCGTGGATTGAAAACCTATAAATGTCAATTTTCCAAGAAGTTAATTGTTTCAACATCTTCATACATGGTTGGTTTGATCATTTGATCCTCGCATTCATTGCTTAAATCATAAGATGGGAACACATATCTATGGAATAAATACCATTACATCACCATATAGTCATAGAATATCCCCTGGTTATACCTCTAATTAATCATGATTTACATCCCCACTATTATATGTTGGTAATTCTATGATTAATGAGATATATGATGGTATTATATGATGATTGCCAACATATATTACCGTTACCATTACCATTATACAGGGGATTGATCCCATTAATCATTATAGTTGGTAATGGTAATGTATGTTGGTATATCCCATGAAAACATTCCATTCATATCCCATGTTCCAGCACCATGGCAACGGTTGCATCCCCATGTTTATTGCCATCCTCATTAAACATTCCATTAAGTTCCATTAAATCTAACTTTAAATCACCGTGAAATCCCATAAAATGAGCATAAAATCCCATTAGATTTCATAAAATCACAATTAAATCACTATGAAATCCCGTAAAATCACCATGTATATCAAATTATATTTCATAAAATCACCATTAAATCACCATAAAATCCCGTAAAATCACCATTAAATCCCATTAGATGTCATAAAATCACCATGAATTCCCATAAGATTTCATAAAATCACCATTAAATCACCATGAAATCCCATAAAATGTGCATAAAATCCCATTAGATTTCATAAAATCACCATTAAATTACCATGAAATACCATAAATCAGAATAAAAGTACCAAAATCCCACAAAAATACGATACAATTCCCATAAAATCACCATTAAATCACCATTCAATTCCCATAAAATCACCATAGAATCCTTATAAAACTCTCCGTAAAATCACCGTAAATCCCATCCCCAGATGTCAAGAGCCGCTGCCATCTTAGGCAATGCTGTCTCTACGGCGCCAGTGCCGCTGCCATCTTTTTGGCGCATGCAGCGCCCATGCGGGCGAAGGCATCGGTGGCAGTGGCAGTGACTTTCATATTTTTCAGAGGGGTCGGTCAACCACCAACCAGTAATTAATAGTAAAAACAATGATATATTAATATACTTACCACATATCATACTATCTATAGATATTGTTACTAATATCCTATCTACATATAGTAATTTCCATAATATATAGATAGTATATTACCCATATCTAATCACTAAAAGTGGTTAGTAATGCTTAGTGATGCTTCCCACGGGTCGAACCAGATTTTTTAGTTTCATATGTTTTTGTCAATGATTCCCATTAATAATGGCTAGTAACATTTGTAATAATGGTTAGTGATAATGCCTAATAATGGTTCAATAATGGTTAATAGTTGATAATTGTTACTAACCAATGAAATGATGGCTAAGAATGATTAATAATGGTTAATAATGATTAAAAATTGCCATTAATAGTGGTTACTATAGTTTTCATAGTGATTGCGAATGGTTACTCATTACTAATGGTTACTATTGTTATTCATAGTGATTGCAAATGGTTTTTCAAAAATGGCTAGTAGTGTAAGTCTATAGTGGCTAATGTCAACCCTGGATTAATAAACCCCAAGGCTGTTTAATTGGGGGGGGGTACCATTTATGTATCATATTGTGACTATGACTATTTGGAGGGTACCCCCACAATTAATAAACCATTGTTTATTAATCCGGAGTTGACATTTACAATTAAAACATTGATCATAGTGCTTACTAACCATTATTACTGTTAATAGCCACTTAATAGTTATATTAGTAATTAGTGTTAGTGATTAATAGTTATTCTGATTGGTGGTTTCAAACATTTTTCCCACAATATATGAGATAATCCTTTCCATTGACTTTCATATTTTTCAGAGGGGTAGGTCAACCACCAACCAGTAATTAATAGTAAAAACCATGATATATTTATATACTTACCACATATCATACTATCTATAGATGGTATTACTAATTTACTATCTATATATAGTTATTTTCCATAATATATAGATAGTATATTACCAATATCTAATCACCAACAGGGGTTAGTAATGCTTAGTGATGCTTCATACGGGCCCATGAGCCATAATTTTTAGTCTTTTATTTTTGTTTTTGTCAATGTTTCCCATTAATAAGCCAATGAAATGATGGCTAATAATGGTTGATAATGGATTCTTAATAATAGATAATAATGGTTAATCGTGGCTAATGGTTAATAATGGTTAATGATGGCTAAGAATGGTTCATGGTGAATCATCGACAATAATGGACTCTTAGGATGTTTAGTGGGCTTTCGGGTGTAACTATGGTTGTATATCCACTTAAAACTGGAACTGCGCTGCACTTCCAAGTAGTGATATGGGCGTTTTTTCCCCTTGTAACATTGTATACCCAAATATAAGACGCTATTATATCCACTTATTAATCACATATATGATTGAATTTCGTTCTTCATCCAGTCAGAGGCCGTGGAAATTGTTGAACATACAGGGTCATTACATAGCTCCAACCCTTACGTATGACCATTATACATATATGATTGTATATCACCATAATTATAACCACAGTTCTTGGCTATCCACTTATTACATATATTATTGTTGGTTATAACCATATAGTTATGGGAACCTTCTGGCCCATTCCTGCTCACTGGCGCCTCTTTTCTCTTTACTTGGACTGTTGGCAGCCCAGAAGATCCACATGCTGAGTGGCTCAATTTTTTGGCGTTAGGGTGTTCGATATTCTGCAACCATGGAGGAGTCGCTGCGAAGTGAAGATGTGGGCCGTGTCCACATCCATGAGCACAGGGAAGTCTGCAAACGGTTGACACGTGCCAGTCTGGAGCCTTTCCAGTACACAACCCTGGGTGGGCTCCTGGTGCGACCAAATTGCGCAGTCAAATACTTAGAAACTGTGGGCAGCAGCGGATCGGGCTTCATGCGGTCGTGGGGCTGCTTATGCCCTTGTGTATGCGATAGCCCACTTCGAGGATTTGTGAACCAGGGTTATTGAACCGGTTAGGGAGGAGTTTGTGCTTAGTGTCTTAGGAAGTGACTTCTAACCCAATACTGGTATACCTGCAGTTATCAGGGGATTCTTGGGGACGCAGTTCCAACTATAGGTGGATATATATATATATATATATATCACCAAATAGGGATTATATACCAACTTACGGAGGTTAGAATCCCATAGTTAAACCCAGTAATGTAGAATCTAGTTATTGATTAAATCGATTCTTGCTCCATCTAAACCCTGAATCATCAAACACGCGATTTGAGGGTTTCCTATAGGGGCACCTGCAAAACTTTCGAAAACTAGACAATATTCTAGTATATTCTTGTATTGACACCCGGCATACGGTACCCCCCAAATTTTAGGAATTTAAGCGCTTGCGCGCGACAGCCGGCCAGGGGCCCATGTTGAGGTGATATGGGTCTAGCTGGGAGCAAGATCTTAAGGCTATGTTGCCCCATCTTGAGGCTATGTTGGTCCATCTTGGGGCAATGTTGGCCCACCTTGGCGCTATGTTGGCCCGTCTTGGGGCCTAGGTTGGCCGATCTTGAGGCCTATGTTGACCCATGTTGAGCCAAAAGATCCAAAAAAAATGGGAACAGCAAAAAAACACTGTAAAACGCATGATATTTTGATGGTCGGCGGCCTATCTTGGGGCTATGTTGGCCCATCTTGGGGCTATGTTGGCCTATCTTGAGGCAATGTGGGCCCATCTTGGGGCTATGTTGGCCCATCTTGGGGCTATGTTGGCATATCTTGAGGGCAATGTGGGCCCATCTTGGGGCTATGTTGGCCCAGCTTGGGGCTATCTTGGCCCATCTTGGGGCTATGTTGGCCCATCTTGGGGCTATGTTGACCCATCTTGAGGCTTATCTTCGCCCATGTTGAGCCATCTTGAGCCACAAGATCCGAAAAATGGGAAAAAAGGAGAACAGCAAAATACACTGTAAAACGCAGGATATTTTGGCGACACGCGGTCTACGGCGGCTGGGGCGGCGGCCCCTCTCTCCTATACGGAGAGGAGAGAACTGCCGTACGGCAATGCCACGGCCAGGGGGCCCCTGGCCGGATTACCAATGCGCTGCGGCCAAACTGTTGAATTTCAGCACTGAACTAGCAAAATTAATGGGTTCTGACTGTCTTTCAAAAGCATCTTCGATGCAAAAACTGGAGAATTAATGATGGAAGACTCCCAGGGGACAAGTATGTATACCAATTTCTTTACAAGTATATATAGGCACACACAACACACACACACACAGATATATATATATATATATACACACGTAAATTTTTCCGTATTAACCCGGCATGTATACTCAAGGTATATGCACAAGGTGGCGTCCCACCAGTTGTAAGGCTGTGAATAAACCCCAGTAACTATAGCTATCACTACCGTAAATCCTAGTTATTGCATATGTAAATTTACCAAGTTAGCTAAGTAAGTCCCATGAAAACCACATGAAATACGACTTCTGTTATTGGGCAAATTAGCTCCATATATGGCTGCAGTTTCATTAAATCCCATCAAATCCCGTTAAATCACCATAACTTTGCTGGTAAGTTCCACCGTGTGGCTTCGGCCGCCCCTGCAGCAACTCCAGATCTTTGGGGTCCTTCTGCCGTCTGCGCGAATGCCTCGCTTGGCGAACTTGGAGGTGTGGCCGAGCCGCAGGGCGAAACGCTTCGGGAAAGGGCCATAGAAATGTTGGGTCAATGGAAGTAAACAAAACTTGGAGGAATCTCCACTGATCTCTGGTGGCAAAAGAACCTAGTGTAGATGTAACATTGGAAGGTTGGCTCCCTTCATTTTACAAAGACAATCACGCACATAATGACCCCAGACAATTTCATTATTGATGGTGGCTAAATTGGTGATAAATCGAATGATCTTCAACAAAAAATCAGGAACTCCATCTCCAAAGATTTGGGCAGACGTGAAACGCATTTTGAACAAGATCCGCTGTTTTTGTTTGTAAAGATGAAATCTTACCTTTTGCAACCCTCTGTATCTGAATTATGTATGTACATATATATATATATATAATGTTTTGATATATTATGAAATATTATATATTATGATATATTGTAATATATGAATATATAATTGTATATATATATGATATTATATATGATATATTTATTTAATTATGTACTTATTTAGTTTGTTTAGTTCATATTTATATATATATATATATATAATAGCTACCACCCAGGAATGTATATCGGGAGGGGTGCGTATACAATCCTGTGATTCCAGCAGAAAATATTGCGATTAAACAGAGGAAAAACTCATTCATTGTAGTCACGCTGTGCAATGCTGTGCATGTCATGAGGTCCGTCATGGCATGTGAACGTTGCTGGTGGGCTACATAGTACTGGTATGTCGGAGAATGAATCATTCCTCCAGTGTCTCAGAAGCTTTCAGACCTGTGGATTGGCACCCACTGACATCCCATTGGCCCGAGCACCGGGGTGGACCACTAGAAGCATGCGCATCCGAGAGAAAGTACACAGGTGCGTGATGTGAAGGGTGCGGTCAAGCATCTGCTCTCCCGACGGGATCAGGTGCTACAGCCGACCACTCATGACCAGCCACTGGAATGAAACCAATTTGGGATGATCTTGGTTTGCAAACAACAACATGTTACTAATAAGCTGTCAAAGCACTGCACAGCGTTGCCCAGCCGCGTGTCGGTTTAGCCATGGCCTTCTACGTGCTGTTGGGTGTGACTGGGGATACGTCGACTCGAGACATCGATCCTTGGCATTGGTTACAGGCGGTCAGGGAAGAAGGAAGCGAATAGGAAGCGAGTTGGGGTTAAGAAATGCTAGACATTTCCAATCACTTCCACCTCGTTCTCTTCAGCATGCTGCCCCCAATGTCAATTGACAATTGATGTCAATTGGTTTCCTCATGTTTCTTCATGGGTCTGCACCGGTCGCATGCCGATATTATATAAACCACAGCAGCGATATGGCATGTTCCCACCCCATTGGCACATGTAGTGAGAAAAAAGCTACACATCCTCCATCCACCACTACAATTCCAGTTCAGCCCCACTAACTAACATTCCAGCTCAGTCCGATCACAAGCATGTCGAGGAACCATCCTGGATTCAGGGTGAAATTGGCCATGAATCAGTGGAAACGGCATTCCGTACTGAACAAGTCAGCCAGAAGTCCGTGCGTTTCCTGCATATAACCACACCAGTGCCATTTCCATGTGGCGTGGCCAAGGAGAAGGCGTACCGGCGACGTGCGGCCCAAGCGCACCCAGACAAGGGCGGCGATGCGGCTGAGTTCTGCCCCTGGGCCTTGTTTAGGAATTTCATGGCGTCTCAGTATATGTCAGTGGTTGAAGCATGTTGAAGCTGTTGGGGCCGAAACTGGCCAAGACTAGCTGCTACTCCCGTAGATCCATGCAGACCAATGTCTCATGCATTAACAATCATTTTCATACGGCAGTGATAACTCAGTAATCAGTAATGCCATGAACAAGATGTGGAGATAGCACTGAAGACATGCGCCGGATGATGAGGCGAGTTGACGCTCGCTCAGGATGTCCTGACGGACACGCTGCGGCGTCGTGCATACGACACGGAGATCCGCCTGGGGTTGCAGACTCGAGTGCCCAAGTTTGCGCCGCGACCGGACAGACCGGTGACCCTTGGCGCATTGGGTTGTGGCGAGGTCAAGTCGACCTCCTTCATTCGGGTGGGTGTTGCCTTGCACTATCCTGCGCTACATCACACTACTTTTTGATTCTTTATGAGATTTTATGAGCATGTTTGAGCCACATCCACATTCAGCGGGTATCGGCGTCCTTGAATTTGAGCCAAGGATCATCGCGACCCGGAAGGATCCACGGCAATGGAGCGGACCTCCGGCTGGCACAGCCGCGGCTGATACAGCCCCAGAATCTCTGTGCCTGGGCTTGAACTGTGGTGTAGGAGCGTGTAGGAGCTACATATGAGTCATATGGTCCAAGCTTGCCAAGAGGGAACCCAAGTGACCCAGACATTGACGACTTGTTTTTAGCCGTTTATCCCATCGCTTTGGCCAATGCGGCGCGATTTCATATTTTTTTAATCCCATTTTGGGTGGCCCAGCGCGGCTCGATCTCAGCAGTTTTCTGGGTGCTGTGCGTTTATGTTTCTATTTGTTTTCTGCTCTCACCTTTCAACATTACACCAGCCTAGGAGGGGCTCAGTGGATCCACCACCGTCATCTGCATCCTCGAAGGCAGCCCCAGGAGTTTTGTGCCTTGGCTCCGGTGCAAGAGCTACAGGGGTTCTGAATTGGCGCATGGCAGATCAGCAGTTTGATTCTTCCCAGGAGTTCCTGTAGTTGCTAATTAAGATTAAGCAAGGTTATCCTCAAATTATTTAAGCAAGGTTAGCTTAATTAAGGATAAGCAAGCTTGTTTGAATTAAGCAAGGTTAATGTTGTTCAGTTATCTTTTTTTGTTCAAGATATCTGTTCATGTATTGGGTGCTTTTTGCTTGCAGATTCGTACTTGTCTTCGTTACTTGTTTCCCTGAGACTTAAACAACATTTGTTTTCATACAAAGGTATGATTCTCCTTCGAAGAAAGTGTCTTTAAAAAAATCTTCTTGATGGAATATGGTTACCTTTTTTCCTCTTTACTTTTTCTGTTACATCAAATTCACCTTGGATTTTTTCTAAGTATACATTTTCTCTTTGAAGAAATGTATTTGCAGAAAAAAATAAAATCACAAATAAACAAACAAAGTCAAGGTGAAAAAAATATTTTTTAAAAGAAATGTAACATATTTTGAAAGTTTGAAAATTTTGAAAGTTTTTTAATGACAATTTTATTTTACATATATGAATTAAAAAAACATGAAGAAATAAGAAATAAAATGAAAAATAAATACAACAAAATAAAAATTTGACAAAACAATCAAATGTTGGAAAAAAATGAAATTGTAAAAATGAAATTGTAAAAATGAAATTTTCATTTTTTTAAAGAAATGAAATCAAAACGCATTTCTTTTGCAAACAAAAGTACAGAAATCAAAGCAGGAAAAAGAAACAAAAAAAAGTAAAAATACATTACCAAAGTAGTTTCAAAATAGAGAAACTAAGCAAAAGAAGGGTATCAGAGGACACATTCACTGTCTCACCGTGGCCGTCTTGTTCAGCTGCTAGTGCCATTTGCCTGTTTTTTTTTGGAAGCTTGCCCCCTAACTTTAGGGGACAACATCATGCAAAACGAGGCTTGACGAAAAAAAAAGTGCTGATAAAAAACCAGATGCATCATTTTTAGGCGATGTAAAAAACAACAACATTGCTTAAATTTAAGCTGGTTTGCTTAAATAAGATAACCTTGCTTAATTAACTAAACATCTCTTAACAAAAGTCTTTAGTTAAAGAGTTTTAACTTAATTAACAAAGGTTTTCTCTTAATTAAGGTAAAAGTCGTTAATTAAAGAAGATTAATAAGAAAGGTTAGCTTAAATAAGCAAGGTTTCGTTAATTAACAACCACAGGAACTCCTGGGTTTGGCGATGGTTGTTGACTCGTGCATGTGTGTAAGACCTATCCCATTGCATTTTTTTGCTTGAATAAAATAGGATCCTTCAATATGAGGGAATGCAGGTGTTGCATACAGTGACATGTTTATCCCATGGCTGTGGCCATCTGTGTCCCATTGGGATCGATCTCAGCAATGTTCCGGGTGTTGTGATTTTTGGCTTTTGCCTCGTTTCCTGCTTTCCTCATTGCGCGGGCCAAGGAAGGCCCGGAAGGCTCCACGGCCGCGCGCTGCAACCTCTCCGGCTGATACAGCCACAGGATTTTCGCGCCTTGGCTCGGGATGGCCCGGGTGTGAGAGCTAAGCGGGTTCTAAATTGATAGATCGGAAACGATCAGAAGTTTTATTCTCTGCTGATGGTGGATGAGCTGCACAGGTGTGTCAGATCCATCCCATCGCCATTTTTTGGCCGATAGGATCAGGGAACATGAGGGAACGGTGTCTATCTCAGCAGCGTTCCGGGTGTGATTTCTGGTTTTTGCATTGTATCCTGCTTTCCTCATGGCGCGAGCCAAGGAAGGCCCGGAAGGCACCACCACCACCAGCTGCAACGTCTCCGGCTGGTACAGCCACACGATTTTCGCGCCTTGGCTCGGGATGGCCGGGTGTGAGAGCCACATACGTCAGGGAACGCAGGTTGACATGTTTAGCCCATGGCTGTGGCCATCTGTGTCCCAGTGGGGGTCGATCTCAGCAATGTTCCAGGTGTTGTGATTTTTGGTTTTTACATCCGCGTTACCATGTCCACTACTAAAAGGGTGAACATGTGCTGGATACCATCCCCTGTTGCGGAGAGAATTCATGCAAAAAAATGAAGTCGTGCCTAGGATTTTGTAGTCAGAGAGCATGCGCTGCATATTGTAGCGGCTTTTCATTTTTCGAACTTAGCACTTGAAAATCGGAAATGCATTTTGTAGTGATTTATGTTGGGATGCTTTGGGTCATACAGGAAACCCTATAGCCTTCTTTTGCCAGTCATGCTGGGTCACATTAACACATGGCTTGGACCCTCAGACCATTTTTGGCTCTTGACTCCCGATCATTTCGGGGTAAGATGAGCCCCAAAAAAATCAAAAAAGATGAATGTAGAGACTTTAAGAAGGAAAAATGGGACAGATTTGGTTTCAAAACCAATCAATTGAATTTGAAGTTGTGCGCTTAGATCGTTTTTGTTGAATTCTTGGAACCCGATGGAATCCCAAGGTTGTATTTACTTGCGCTCGGCAAATGCTATGAGCTGGGCCCGGAAAGTGAACCAAAGATTTAGGGTGAAATTTCCAGAAACCATTTAGTAGAGAATCACGAATTTTCACTGCAACCCGTTTTTCGCTACAAAGTGGTTACGCAAATGCATTTTGTAGTGACTCACATTGTTTTTGATCCACCATCAAAACCCCCAAAGCATTTTGTAGCACCTTCGTCGGTCCAGATAAAGGCAGCATGTTGTAGTATAAGGTTGTGTTTGTTAAACGGTTTAGTTGGCACAACTACCTTGCAGAATGCACACCAGGATGTTTTTACTTTGTTTCCTGCTTTCCTCATTGCGCGGGCCAAGGATGGCCCGGAAGGTTCCACCTCCGCGCGCTGCAACCTCTCCGGCTGATACAGCCACAGGATTTTCGCGCCTTGGCTTGGTTTGGCCAGGTGTGAGAGCGACATACGGGTGATCACTCAGGAACATCATGGAGCAGGGAACATGATGGAACAGGGAACGCAGGCGTTCCATTGACATGTTTCTCCTATGGCTGTGGCCATCTGTGTCCCAGTGGGGGTCGATCTCAGCAATTTTCTGGGTGTTGTGATTTCACGTTTTTATTTCGTTTGCTGCTCTTGGCACTTTCCTCTTTCCTCCTTGCGTGATGCAAGGAAGGCTTGGAAGGCTCCACCACCACCGCCATCTACAACCTCTCCGGCTGATACGGCCCGAGGATCTTCGTGCCTTGGCTCGGGTGTGAGAACCACATCTGGAATTGTAAAAAATAAACCTGTAGTAAGGGTTTTAATAGAACGGGGCCCAAAGTCACAGACATGAGCTGTCAGCCCACAAAACGATAAAAGGAAAAAAAAATAACAAGACCTGCAGGAATCCACAAACGTAATTACCTCTTGAATATGCTGACGGTCGCAGTTTAACGAGTGCACATGGCGAAGACACAAAGATAGCATGGCCAGGAGAGTCTTGTTTCGAGAGACCCAATAATGGGAGGCCCAAGGGAATGGAAGCAACAAAAATTGATTGCCAACTTTCAACCAAAAAATGGGAAACCCAAGTAAAAGGAAACACCGAATTTGACTGCCATCTACGGGCCAATTGTTTTGGGAGCCCCAAGGAAGAGAAATCAAACAAACAAACTTTGGGTGAAAAATTGGAAGGCCAACTGTGGACCAAATTTTTCGGAGGCCCAAGTAACAGGACAAAATCACCCCCAAGTATGGGCCAAAAAAAATCGCGCCCTTTCTTCTCTTCTTTCCTCCTTCCATCTCGGTTTTAATTTTGCTCTCTTCTCTGCTCTTCTCTTCTCTTTACACTTTGCTCTTGTCTCTTTCTTCTTTCCTTTTTTTCGTTTTTTTTTCCCCTTTCTTCTCTTCTCACTTCTCTCTTCCCTCTTCCCTCGTTTTTACTTCTCCTCTGACCATTCACATTTTGCTGTCAAAGGCATCAAACTTCTAGGTTTCTTGCTGAAAGAGCACTGGAACCCTATTGAAATAGTATTCCACGGTGCCCAAAACTCAATAGAGTCATTTTGAAATAGCCTTAGAGGTTTGCAGAAGGAGGTTGCCATATGTCGAAGTAGCACCTTAGTTGTCTAAGTGGCGTGACATTGCCAAGGTAAAAACAAGCAATCTTGTTCTTAAATATGTTGTTTAAAGTTTTTAGGGCAATACTAACAATAAAAGTTTTGCCTTGAAGATGGAATTTGACTACTATTTATGTTTTTGTCTTAGTTGATTTTGGATCCACTAATAAACGGATACCAGTATCATGTCAGGTGGCTTCAGTATGTTACCTAGAAAACTGGCAAATTTGCAAATTACTTAATTCACTTGTTACTTAGACAACTCAAAGATTATTTAGCTCATTGGCTTTTCTACCTATTTCACTGCTACCAACAAAGAACAAGTGCAACATTTCACTGCTACCAGGGACCAGTGTAACAACAAAAAATCTGTTTGTTACTTACAAACAAATTCTACTTAGACAAACAGGAGGTTACTTAAACAATAAATGCCTGTTACTTCTACAAGGAAAAATGGAATAAAAACAAGTTTTTCAAGTGACAAAAAGAGGTGTTCCGAGGTAATTTACCCAAATTGACTTAAGTCAAATTTTAAAATTGACTTACCTCAGGCTTGCAATAAGGCAAATTGATTTTTAACTATTAGTCATTTTTTTGTATATTGCCTTAAACCAAGTTTTTTGCCTTAACTGATCTTAGAGGTTTCATCCAATGAGTATGGTCCATCAATGTCCATCATGCGCATTCTCTAATTCCGCAGCTTGTGCATGCTGTCAGAACATGGTATAGGTGACGCCAGGGGTTTGATGTTGAATGATCCTGAATCGGAATGGCATCTGAGGGCTCCGGCGGCTGGAGATGGCACTCCCCTGGCTCACTCAGCTCCGCCAGTTTCTCCGAGCCTTGGTGGGGCTATCCGGCTGCTGCTCTGGGTCACCGGTCTCGGGTATCACCAGGGGGAAGAGATTGGGGCAGAGGATTCATGCTGCAGCATCATCATGCAATATCATGCATTTTCTTGCATCATTTGTCGACATGAATCATCTCCATAT